CATTTAAAATGTATGTTGTCGGGTTCATTCTGTTTAATTTGATATATGTTCACTTTTTGTCCCTTTAGCCTTCAAAACAATTATAATAGTTCTTAAACTTTTTCATTGTTTATTTTCCTAATGAGCTAGCTCATTTTCCATTGGGTTATCAGCCACTTGAGTTTTTCTAGTTATGTGGTTGGGAGGAGCAGTAAGGTTAGTAGGAAAAAAGAAGAACCTCTGGACAGAGAACTTGTGATGTTAATGGGCTTCCCATTTGCTCCGTCTGCTAAGTCCCTCCTGGTAATTCCATCATATCATTGTTCTTTTTTGAGAATAATCTCCTGTGATAGTCTGTTGAGCCATCAGATCAGAGATGCCACCCTAGCCAGGCTGGAGTGCTGCTCTGATGTTCAACCCTAAAGCACTAGGGAGGTATTGCTTTTCTGTCTCAGAGAAGACAAGAGAGAGAGAGAGCATACCTGGAAAGCTTTCTGTCATCCTGCTCCACCTCCGCAACCTGAGGTATGCACTGTACTCCTCAACTCTGGGTTGCTGCTCTGGCTTCATTCCAAACACAAGCCAGTTAGCTTCTGTTTCTTCAGGGATCTTTCATTGTTAATCTTTGCTTCTCAGTTCAAACTTCTCTGACTTACGTAATATCTTCAAAGGGAGATATCCTAGCTTGATGGCTTGTCAGGAAATTTAAGTTGCATATGAATAATTTTAACAAACATGCGTATAGGGGCAGGCATTTAGTCTAATGGTTAAAATTCCAGTGAGACACCTGTGTCTCATGTAGGCGTACCAGAGTTCAATGCCCAGCTCTCCCTCCAGTTTCTGACTCCAACTTCCTGCTGGTACAGACCATCTAAGGCAGCAGTAGTCATATATGGCCATTTTGAGTACACGGAATTTTTTTTGTACACATTTACTTTTCTAATATTTAATTTCAACTTTCGTTAGTTTTATATTTAGCGATCACGTGTTTTCTTTGACAGAGGGAGCACAACACAGGGTAATAAAAGTAAACGTATCTGGAGCTGTTACTGAGATAATTCAGAAAATGAAAAATTTAGGTCTCAGTAAACATTATTTTGGGGATAGGCATTTGCCATAGTGGTTAAGATGCCACTTCGAATACCTAGATTTGAGTTCTAGCGCTGCACCCATTTCTGCTAAGTTGTACCCTTGGAGAAAGCAGGTGATGACTCAAGTGGTTGGGTTTTTGCCACCTACATGGAAGCCCCAGATTGAGCTCCCTGGCTCCCAGCTTCAGCCTGTCCCAGTCTCAGCTGTTGCAAGCATTTGGGGAGTGAACCATTAGATGGGAGTTGTTTCTTTCTCTTTCTCTTTTTCTTTCTCTTTCTCTTTCTCTCTCTCTCTCTCTCTCTCTCTCTCTCTCTCTCTCTCTCTGCTTTTCAAATAAAGTGAATAAATGAGAATTATTTTTATTTTCTTGCTAAACAATTTATAATCATTATGCTTTGAGCATTTGATATGTAGAATATGGATAATATTGATAGTGAATAGGAAGCTGAGTGAGGAGATTTTCAGTTCTCAAGGATGTTTTTGTTACATATTTTGAAAATAAATTTATAGATAATTCAAGTTAAAGCTAAAATATCTTCACGTCAAGGTTTCAGAAGCTACAGAAGGGTGCTTTGTTAGGATTCGGGCCGTTTTTCATTGAGCAACCATGAATAAAGACAGATGGATCAGCCAGTCTTAACTCAGAAAAAAACTGTATAGCCTTCTATTCTTGTGCAGCTTTGCTTTTGTTCGTTCTGTAGTCTACTTGTCTTTGACCTGCTTTTGGCTACTTATTCTAACTTCACCTATTTTTGGATGCCTGCTTTCTGTTCCTAAAATCAGTCTTATATGTATTTATCAAAGACATTGTTGGCTTACATATAGTATTTGAGCCTGGCTCCTGGCTTTGGATCGGTGCAGCTCTGGCCATGTAGCTAGTTGGGGAGTGAACCAACAGATGGAAGACCTCTCTCTCTGTCTCTCTCTCTCTCTCTGACTCTCCTTCTCTCTCTGTGTAACTCTTTCAAATAAATAAATAAATCTTAAAAAAAAAAAAAAAAAAAAAAAACCCTCTGTTCATCACTGGAAAAAAATGTCTTTAGGCCGGCGCCGCAGCTCAATAGGCTAGTCCTCCATCTAGCGGTGCTGGCACACCAGGTTCTAGTCCCGGTTGGGGCGCCGGATTCTTTCCCGGTTGCCCCTCTTCCAGGCCAGCTCTCTGCTGTGGCCCGGGAAGGCAGTGGAGGATGGCCCAAGTGCTTGGGCCCTGAACCCCATGGGAGACCAGGATAAGCACCTGGCTCCTGCCTTCGGATCAGCACGGTGCACTGGCCACAGCGCGCCAGCCGCGGTGGCCATTGGAGGGTGAACCAACGGCAAAGGAAGACCTTTCTCTCTGTCTCTCTCTCTCACTGTCCACTCTGCCTGTCAAAAAATAAAAAAATGAATAAATTAAAAAAAGAAAGGATCTGTCTATAACATTTTCTCTCTCACATCTGTACAACGTAGGAGTGCATCTTTGTTTGCCAATATTGAGTAATATCTTTTAAAAAATCTTTACCAGTTGATAAATGATAAAAATGAACTTTCACTTGTTTTTAAAACAATTATTTTCCTTCTAGTTAATAATCATTTGTATTTTCTGTGTTCTAAATTTTCTGTTTATAGCTGTGTCTATTTTTTTTCTGTTAATTGTTTGTCTTAGGTCTGTGGTTATATAGTAAAAATTTCAGGTACCCTTCAAAACATTTAAGCAGGTTTTGTACTTAAGATTTGTGTGAATGTGAACAAATAAAGCCCATGATAAAGGCTACTGAGTTGTAAGACTGTTGCTAAGTTGAAAAAAGAACAGGAAGTTCTCTTTGAGTTCCTAGCACAGCAGAAAATTGTAGTTCTAAGCCATTTGAAGGGTTGTTTCTTGGACTGTTTTTCTTAAGCTAAGAGCTATTTTGGGTAGGTGAATAGGCAGACCTCTTCAAAAAGAAGCACTTTTTCCATTGTGCTTTATTATGGAATGACAGATTTTTAAAAAAAATAATTGGTTTTTTCCAATTTTTTCTTAAATTAGAAATTATTTTTGACTAAAGAAAGGTAATTTAATAATATAACTAATGATCCAATATGTAATTTTTTTTGTTGTTGCTTTTAGTCATCAGACTACATTCTGCTTATTGGTGAAGGAGTTCCAATAATGCTTGCAGAGCTCTTTCTTTTCTGGTAGTTATCAAAGCCCAGGAGGTAATATGGTGGTGACAGAAGAAAGGCACCCCATCTTATTCCATCTTTTTTATATTCTTGAGCTAACTGTGAACCTTATAAAACAAAACAAAAACCTCCCATATCAAGTCAAATTGATTAAATAGTTTTCTCTACACAGAACTAACAAAATTTCTAGTTGCAATATTTTTCTTAATTCTGCAGTTCATGATGCATATACTTGACCACATATTAACCCTTAAAAGTGTGTGTGTGTGTGTGTGTGTATGTAGATACAGAGAGAATTGCTGTATATTGTGAGTATATATAAAATAGGCCAGGTACTTTCTCCCCCCGCCTTTTTTTTATACGCATTTCTCATTTGTAATTAAACCTAATAGGAACCAACAAACTTTTAGACATAAAGATTAAAATGTTGACCAAATGTGGCTCTCTTCTGACTAGACCATAAACTTTTTTGTAGTGCTTAATCTAACTACTGCTCCACATTATAGGGTCTTAGAATGTGTTTGCTAAATTAAGTTAAACTGTTTGACAGATGGGGCCACTGCTGTGGCGTAGCCTCTTCCTGCAACCCCAGCATCCCACATTGGTACCAGTTCAAGTCTCCTCTTCTGATCTAGCTCCCTGCTAATGCTCCTGGGAAAGCAGCAAAAGATGGCCCAAATACATTTATAATGTATTTTCCATAGTTAGTGTAGCAACCATAGTTAGTATAGCAACTCTGAAATTAGAGGCTAATATGTAGGCAGATATTTATTATATTGCTTGTCACATTTATGTTTTTTTTAAAGATTTATTAATTTAAAAGTCAAAGTGAAGTGTGCACATGTGCACACACACACACACACACAGGTGAGGTGGTAAGGGTGGAGAGAGATCTTTTCATCCATAGATTCACTCCCCCAAATACCTGCAACAGCTGGAGCTGGGCCAGGCTGAAACCAGGGGCCTGGAATTCCATCAAGGTCTCCCATGTGGATGGCAGGGGCCCAAAGACTTGGGCCATCATCCGTTACCTTCCTGGGCACATGAACAAGAAGCCGGTTTGGAAGCAGAGGAATTGGGACTCAAACTGGCACTGTGATATGGGATGCAGGCATAATGAGCAGTAGCTTAATCTCTTGCACCACGGTGCCAACCCACATTTATATTGTAATTGTTGCCTTGGATATTTGTCTTCCCTTCAGACCATTTATATCTCAAGACAGAGACTGTGCTTGTTTTTCCATTAACCTCAGGACTTCCAACAGTGTCTGGTATGGAAGACTATTCAGTATGTATTACTTGAATGATTATAGCCATAGATAGTTCTTGCTGCCCAAAGGTCTTAAATATAAACTGGATTCTTGATGGATTACATTCAAAAGTGCATGTTAAACTAATAGGATTTTTGTTGCTGAGAATCACACCATTATAGTATTAAAGGTACCTAAGATGTTATCTAGTCCAGTCTTCACTCCCTTAACACCACAGTCATACACATGCATTCATTGGCACACAGCAAGTTGAAATCTGTAGAGGCTAAATGATGTAGTGATGAAGTTAGGACTAAAAGTCCATATTCCCCCGTTTTTTCCTGTACCATTTTATTCTCTTATACCTTGCAGTCTGATAATATTCCATGAGAATTGATTTGTTTAGGAAAATGTTAATTTAATTGATAATATTAACTTTTTGCCTTTAAAAGTAAGGAACCAGTTGCCAGCTAGAATACTGGAAAAGAAATTTTGAATTGATTTAAACAGTGACAGCGTTTTTCTGTTTTATAGACCTCCGTGAGTGAAAGCCTTCAAAGGGAAGCTGCTAAGAAACAGGCCATGAAACAGGTAAGGCAGACGAGTAAAGTAAATGCAGTCAGTGAAGTCTTCCAGCTCATTTGTTTTTAAATAAATTCTTTAAAAATATTTATTTTATTTATTTGGAGATCTTCCATCTGCAGGTTCACTCCTCAAATGGATGCCATGACCAGATCTGGACTAGGCTGAAGTTAGGAGCCTGAAACTGCATCTGAGCCTCCTACATGGGTGGCAGGGGCCCAACTACTTGGGTCTTCATCTGCTCTCTTCCCAGTGAGGAAGGTGGATATACATGGAGCAGCCAGTACTTAACAGGCACTCATGTGGGAGGCTGGCATCACAGGCAGCAACTTAACCCACTGTGCCACAATGCCTCCCCCCAGCTCATATTTTTGAGTGTCGTTCAGTGTCTAGATACTGAGACTAAAACAGAGTAGTATGTGTAATGAAATAATTTGATCTTGACTCTTGTTTTCTAAAAATATGTGAGAATGTTTCTTGATTTATATAGACTACACATTTCCTGTATAGATTTTACAGGAAAAATTATGTAAATGAAGAATTAACTTTTCATTTCTGAACACCAAATTTACTTGCAGACTTCAATAGTCTGACAGTGGATTATTTGGCTTCTTTGTTTATTAGTAAATCATTGCTTATGAGCTTGCTTGCCCCCCAAAAAAACTATTCAAAGTGATTTCACACTTTTATAATTATTTAAAATTCATCTACCAAGAAAGGGGAGTATAAGGTAATTTTTAAAAAATTTATTTAATTAACTTTACTTTTCGGTGGTTTTAGGTTTACAGAAAAATTGAACAGAAAATAAAGAGGCCAGCGCTGCGGCTCAATAGGCTAATCCTCCAACTGCGGCGCTGGCACACCAAGTTCTAGTCCCAGTCGGGTGCCGGATTCTGTCCTGGTTGCTCCTCTTCCAGTCTAGCTCTCTGCTGTGGCCCGGGAGTGCAGTGGAGGATGGCCCAAGTCCTTGGGCCCTACACCCGCATGGGAGACCAGGAGAAGCACCTGGCTCCTGGCTTCGGATCAGCGTGGTGCGCCAGCCACAGTGCAGCGGCCATTAAGGGGTGAACCAACGGCAAAAGGAAGACCTTTCTCTCTGTCTCTCTCTCTCACTGTCCACTCTGCCTGTCAAAAAAAAAAAAAGTAAAGAAATTTCCCATACATTCTTTCATGTCCTCCTTCCACCACTTTCTTATGTTATTAACATCTTTTATTCCTGTGGTACATTTGTGGCTTTTGGTTTTTTGTTTGTTTGTTTGTTTTCAATTTATTTTTTTCCCCAAAAAAACCCTTTACAAGCTTCATGCATTTCATAAGTACAACTTTAGGAATATAGTGATTTTTCCCACTATACCCACTCTCCCACCCACTCTCCTCTTCCCTCTCCCATTCCTAGTCCCATTCTCCACTAAGATCCATTTTCAGTTAACTTTATACACAGAAGACCAATTCTATACTGAGTAAAGAGTTCAACAATTTGCATGAAAAAAAAAAACACTGTGTCCTTCAGTTTTTTTTTAATACTGTTTGTTGAACTCTTAACAAAATGTAGGTTTTGTGTTTTTTGGTTTTTTTCTTCTTTCGAAAAATGTCTGTTTAAGTCTTTTGCCCATTTTATCACTGGGTGGGTTGTTTTGTTGTTGAGTTTCTGGAGCTCTTTATATATTCTGGTTATTAATCCTTTATCAATTGAATAGTTTGCAATTAATTTCTATTCTGTCAGTTGCCTATTCACTTTCCTGAATGTTTCTTTTGCAGTATAGAAGCTTCTTAATTTGATGTTTCCCATTTGTTATTTTTATATTTGATTGCCTGTGCCTCTGGGGTCTTTCCCAAGAACTCTGCCTATGCCAATGTCTTGCTGGGTTTCCCCAATATTCTCTAACAATTTAATGGTATTGGGTCATAGATTTAGGTCTTTAATCCATTTTGAGTCGATTTTTGAGTAAGGTGTAAGGTAGGAATCTTCCTTCATACTTTGGCACGAGGAAATCCAGTTTTCCCAGCACCATTTGTTGAAGATCCTGTTCTTGCTCCAGGGATTGATTTTAACTCCTTTGTCAAATAGCAGTTGATTGTAGATGCTTGGATTGATTTCTGGTGTTTATATTCTGTTCCATTGGACTATCCATCTGTTTTTATACCAGTACCAGGCTGTTTTGATTATAACTACCCTGTAGTGTATCTAAAATCTGGTACTGTGATGCCTCTGGCTTTGTTTTTGTTGTATAAGATTGCTTTAGCTGTTCGGGGTCTCCTGTGTTTTCCATTTTTTCTATATCTGAGAAAAATGTCCTTGGTATTTTGATTGGTATCACATTGAATCTGCAGATTGCTTTCAGAAGTATGGACATTTTGATGATATGAATTCTTCCAATCCATGAATATGAAAGATTTTTCCATTTTTTTGTATCTTCTATTTCTTTCTTTAATGCTTTGTAATTCTCATTGTAGAGATCTTTGACATCTTTGGTTAAATTTATTCCAAGGTATTTGATTTTTTTTTTGTAGCTGGATCGTAAGTGGAGCAGCCAGGACTCAAACCGGCACCCATATGGGATGCTGGTACTGCAGTTGGTGTCTTTACTTGCTGTGCCACAGCACTTGCCCCGGAATGATCTTTCTGATGTGTTGTTGCATTCAATTGGCGAGAATTTTGTTGAGGATTTTTGCATCTATGTTCATGTGGGAAATTGGTCTCTAATTCTTTTTCTCTGTTGCATCTTTTTCAAGTTTAGGGATTAAGGTGATGCTGGCTTCATAGAAAGAATTTGGGAAGATTCCCTCTCTTTCAGTTGTTTTGAATAGCTTGAGAAGAATTGGAGTTCTTTTTCAAATGTCTAGTAGAATTCAGCAGTGTTTTGGGATTTTCCTTGTTGAGAGGGTCTTTATTACTGATTCAGTTTCTGTCCTGGTTATACATCTGTTTAGGTTTTCTGTGCCTTCCTGGCTCAATTTAGGTAGGTTGTATGTGTCGAGGAATTGACCCATTTGTTCTAGGTTTCCCCGTTTGTTGGCATACATCTCTTTGTAGTAATTTCTGATGATTCTTTTTTATGTCTGTGGTGTCTGTTGTTACATTTCCTTTCATCTCTAATTTTATTTATTTGGGTCTTCTCTCTCCTTTTTTTGGTTAGTTGGGCCAATGGTATGTCAGTTTTGTTTATTTTTTCAAAAAACCCAGTTCTTCATTTTGCTGATCTTTTGTATTTTTTTGATTCAGTTTTGTTGATTTCTTCTCTAGTTAATTATTTCTTTTCTCCTACTAGTTTTGGGTTTGGTTTGCTGCTGTTTTTCTAGATCCTTCAGATGCATTGATAGCTCATTTATTTGTTGCCTTTCCAATTTCTTGATGTAGCACCAATTGCTATAAACTTTCCTGTTAACACTGTGTTTGCTGTATCCCATAAGTTTTAATATGTTGTATTGTCATCTTCATTTGTTTCCAGAAATTTTTTATTTCTCTTTTGATTTCTACAATGACCCACTGTTCATTCAGTACTATGTTGTTCTGTTTAGGTGTGTTTGCCAGGAGCCAGGAGCTTCTTCTGGGTCTCCCATGCAGGTGCAGGGGCCCAAGGACTTGGGCCATCTTCTGCTTTCCCAGGCCACAGCAAAGAGCTGGATAGGAAGTGGAGCAGCCAGGACTCGATCCGGCGCTCATATGGGATGGCGGTGCTTCTGGCCAGGGCGTTACCCTGTTGTGCCACAGTGCCAGCCCCGGCAATTATTTTTGAAGAATGATCTTTAATTCTTATAACAGTCGTGAGGCACATTCTATTACAATCCTCACTTTATAGTTGAGGAACTTAACACAAGTAAATTTGTGTGAGTTGCATGAGGTCACATACTAAATGGTAGAATTCTGTTCAAACCTACACAGTGAAATTACAGAGCTAAAGCTTGTAGCTACTGTGTTTTACTGCCTCCCTGGGGAATTAAATTATATAGCTAGTTAAATAATATTTTAGGGGTCAATGCTGTGGTGTAGTAGGTTAAGCCTCCTGCAGCACTGGCATCCCTTATGGGTGCTTGTTCATGTCCTGGCTGCTTTACTTCCAATCCAGCTCCCTGTTGATGGCCTAGGAAAGCAGAGGAAGGTGGCCCAAGTGCTTGGTCCCCTGAACCCATGTGGGACACCCTTGGGCCCCTGCACCTATATGGGAGACCCAGAAGAATCTCCTGGCTCCTGGCTTCTTTTCAGTGCAGCTCCGGCCATTGCAGCCATTTGGAAAGTGAACCAGTGGATGGAAGACCTTTCTTTCTCTGCCTCTCCTCCCTCTGTGTAACTCTGCCTTTCAAATAAATAAATAATCTTTAAAAAAATAAAGCTCCTTTTTTAGTTTGAGGTTTTATTGTTTGTTTGTTTTTTTAAACCATAAACTATATAAAAAGGATAATACTTAATGATCATCATGTTGGATTCATATCAGCAATGTGAGATCAGCTCAACTTTAGAAAATCAGTTGTAACTTCACATAAATGTAATAAATCCAACATGGGTGTAAAATATTGTCCTTTTTATATACCATTTCATTTGGTTTACTTAAATTTCATTAAGAATTTTCGTATAATAAGTGAAATTGGCCTGTGATTTTCCTTTTCTTTCTCCATAATTACTCAGATTGAAAAAATTAGAAAGTAACACTGTCAGGGGTTGGTGAATCTTATAAAATGAGCTAATTTTTTTAACGTTAATTTTATTTGTTTGAAAAGCAGAGTTACAGAAAGAGAAAGAGATCTTCCATCCACTGGTTCAGTCTGCAAATGGCTGCAACAGCTGGGGCCAGGCCAGGCCAAAGTCAGGAGCCTGGAAGCTTCATCCATGTCTCTCATGGAGGTGTAGAGGCTGAAATATTTGGGCCGTCTTCTGCTGCTTTCCCAGGCACATTAGCAGGGAGCTGGATGGGATGTAGAACACTTGATACTCGTAGTCAAAATGGACTAATATTTTTTAAGTTTGTTTCTACTTAATTAATTTTACTAATTAATTTGTTTCTATTTCATTGAAACATTAATTTTATTAATGTTTTCTTCATTCTATTTTCTTGGGATTTATTTTGTTATTTTTCTGACTTTGAAATGGGTACACATCTCTGTTGTTCAATCTGTTCTATTTTCTCATAGATGCATTTAAAGCTATACATTTCCTTCTAAGCATTGTTATATCTACCTCCACATTTTGATGTATTTTTGTTATTACATTCAAAGTATTTTCTAATTTCCATTGGGAGTTTTTTGTTTGATCCTTGTGTTATTTGAAAATATATAACTTAGTTCTAGGGGCCAGCGCCGTGGCTCACTTGGTTAATCCTCTGCCTGTGGTGCCGGCGTCCCATATGGGCGCCAGTTCTAGTCCTGGTTGCTCCTCTTCCAGTCCAGCTCTCTGCCATGGCCTGGGAAGGCAGTGGAGGATGGCCCAAGTGCTTGGGCCCCTGCACCCGCATGGGAGACCAGGAGGAAGTATCTGGCTCCTGGCTTTAGATCGGCATAGCTCCGGCCGTGGCAGCCTGGGGAGTGAACCAATGGAGGGAAGACCTTTCTCTCTCTCTCACTGTCTAACTCCAGCTATCAAAAAAAAAAAAAAAAAAAAAAAAAAATATAACTTAGTTCTAAACATATGGAAGTTTTAGGTTACCTTTTTGTTACTGATTTCTAATTTGATTGTTTTATGTTGTAAGACCTTTCCTTGTTTCCTATTTTTAAAAATGTGCTGAGGTTTACTTTATTGTCCAATATAGTCAGTATTTATCAATATTCCCTCTAAATTTGGAAAATGTTCTACATGTGTCCATTGAGCCAGTCATGTTAATCCTTAAATGAGGATATTTCAGTAAGTTGATGGAAAAATTGAATTAAAAAGTAAGTTTATTTGGATGCAAAAATGTTTTTGAAATCTCTGCAGATTTCATAGGACATTTTTTTCCATGAACTTTTTGAAGACCCACATATATAGTCATACTGATTTATGTCTGGTTTTTTTGCCAGAAGGTAAATGCTGAAATCACTAGTGAGTGTGATTGTCGATCACTAGATGATTGTCGATTTGTCTGCTCTCCCTTAGATTGCTGTTTAAATTTTACTTTGTATATTTTGAGACATAAGTGAGTTAGGTAAATACCCAAGTGCTCCCCTGGGCAGCTTTCTTCTCATCATAAACAAATGCATTGGTTTAATTCACTACAACACAACACCCATCACTGGGAACTTTTGTATTTTAAATGAAGTATTTCTTACCATTATACGTTTGAAAACTAAACATTGTGCTTGGCAGCTCAGCTTTCCAAAATTTATTTGAAAATTCAGTATATAATATAGGCATTCAAAACCAGATTTAGGTTGTTTCTCAGTTACACCTTAGACTTTTAAACTTTTGATGTAAATAATTATATACAAATCATTCAAATAATGATAGTTAATGTTTTTTGAACATTTATTCTCCTTCAGGCTGTATCTTAGGTGTTTTAATTTTATTAAGTCATTTAATTATCACAACTTAGGAGGTAAATAGAGTTATTATAGATGAGAAAAGTTAGGGCACAAAAAGACTAAACAAATTTGACCAAAAATATTAAGAAAATGTAAAATTCAAATTCAAACCCAGGCAACCTGGCTCCAGAATTTAACATCATATTTTTCTATCTAAAATGGAACTAATGTAATTTTAAGATATATTTATATAATATATAATATTGTATATAATATATGGACCTTTATAATATATAATTTAATATATAATATAGATATATAATATATGGACCTTTATAAGAAATATGTAGAACTTTCGTGGTGTCTTTTGGCTGCTCATATTTTTGAAACTTTTTTTTTAAGACTAAACTGGAAATTCAGAAGGCCCTTGCAGAAGATTCTACTGTGTATGAATATGACAGTATTTATGATGAAATGCAGAAAAAGAAGGAAGAAAGTAACCCCAGATTGCTTCTGAGTAAAGATCGAAAGGTTGGTAACTAAAAATACAAAGTTTCTTTGACCTTGATATACATTTAGTGTCTTAATGTTATTTTAAAACATGAGAATTACCTGAGAGAAAACTTTTAGGTATTTGAAGTATGAAAATTTCTAGTTCTAGTTAAAACTCAAGTATCTGTACATACAATATCATAACAGGAGACAAGTGTATTATGTAACAATACTGTGAATTTTGTGTCCTGCTTTGAAACTTTGCAAGTAATGTTTTGGAAATATTTCGGGGAGAGACCTTCCATCCACTTGTTTACTCTCCAAATACCTGGGAGCCAAGAACTCAATCCAGGTCTCTCTCACATGGTGGCAGGGACACAACTACTTAAGACATTACCTGCTGTTTCCTAGGATATGCATTAACAGGAATCTTGAACTGGGAGTGGAGCTAAGACTTGAACCCAGACATTCAGAAAAGGTATGCAAGTATCCCAAGCAGTGTCTTAATCACTGTACCAAATGCTCACTCCTAAAGCTACTATTTTAAAAAATGATCACTGTTAGGAAACTCTTTTCCTAACAATCATATTTCCACTAACTATGAAAAACTTTTCTGATTCATTTATTTGTTGAAGTAAGAGAATACCAGTAAACAGGATGAAAAAAAACACTTGGGGGCAAGTGCTGTGATATAGCAGGTAAAGCTACTGCTTGGGGTGCCAGCCTCCCACATGTGCACTGGTTCGAGTCCCAGCTGCTCCACTTCCAATCTGGCTCTTTGCTGTGGCCTGGAAAAGCAGTGGAAGATGGCCGAGGTCCTTGGGCCCCTGCACCTGTATGGGAGACCTGTACAAAGCCCCAGGCTCCTGGCTTTGGATCAGCCCAGCTCTGGCCATTCCAGCCATTTGGGGAGTGAATCAGCGGATGGAAGACCTTTCTCTCTGTCTGTTCTTCTGTCTGTAATTTTACCTCTCAAACAAATAAATAAAATCTTAAAAAAAAGAAACACTAGGAAAATATTTGGTTTGAGATTTAAAAAAAAAGTAAAAGCATTATAAATTTGATTTCTGTTGCACTTACATATTTATTGAAAACAGTTTCAGTATGAATCTTGCTAATAAATTTATATTGAATTTTGAGAAGACAATTCTATTTATTAACCATTTCTATCTTAATGAATTCATGATAAAAATTATTACAGAAAATTGTTTTTTTTTTTTTTCAACTCTTTCCTAATTAACCTTATTTTTTCTCTCAGCCCAAATATATTCACAACTTACTAAAGGCAGTTGAAATCAGAAAAAAGGAACAGGAAAAAAGAATGGAAAAGAAAATACAGAGAGAGCGAGAAATGGAAAAGGGAGAATTTGATGATAAAGAGGCATTTGTGACATCTGCTTATAAGAAAAAACTGCAAGAGAGAGCTGAGGAGGAAGAAAGAGAAAAGAGAGCTGCTGCACTGGAAGGTAAAATGGGAGGTGGGAAGAGTAGAAAGACACAGAGCAGCCCTGTGGCGAGCCATTTGCTGTGTCATTCACCTTTCTGATTCAAGTGCAGTGATCATAGTTTATATGAATGCACGATGCAAGGCACAGCTGGTTAAGCCACAGTGCTGTGGCATCCCATATCAGAGTGCCAGTTGGAGTCTTGGCTCCTTCAGTTCAAGGATAGCTTCCTGCTGATGTGTCCAGGAGGTAGCAGGTAATGGCGCAATTTCTTGGGTCCCTGCCACCAACATGAGAGACTTGGGTGGACTTCCTGGCTCAGCCTGGCCCAGCACTGGCTGACTGTTGGGGGCATTTTGGGAGCTAACGGGTAGATGAAAGATCTCTGTCTTCTTTGGCCCTGTCTCTTTGTCTCTCACTTTGCCTTTCAAATAAGTAAATCTTAAAAACAGAAACAAAGTGTAGCACCATAAAATTGATCCCAAACAACATAAATAAAACCTTAAACCCTAATTATATTTTCTGAGATGATAAAATCTAGAGTAATACCATTCAAGAAGTGCCAATCTAGGCAGCTAGAATAATATTAATTAATCAGAGTAAGAGTAAAAATGTGGAGGGCCTGGGGGGCAGCATTGTGTAACAGGTAAAGCCGCTGCCTGTGACGCCAGCATCCCATGTGGTCAGTGGTTCAAATCCTGGCTGTTCCACTTCAGATTCTGCCCCCTGCAATGCACCTGCGAAAGCAGTGGAAGATGGCCCCCTTGAAGAGGCTCCTGGCTCCTTTCTTCAGTCTGGCCCAAACCTGGCTGTTGTGACCATTTGGGGAGTGAACCAGCAAATGGAAGATCTGTCACTCCCTTTCTTTCTGTAACTCTGACTTTCAAATAAATAAAAATAACTCTTTAAAAAAACATGTGGGGGGCCGGCGCTGCGGCTCACTAGGCTAATCCTCTGCCTTGCGGCGCTGGCACGCCGGGTTCTAGTCCTGGTCAGGGTGCCAGATTCTGTCCCAGTTGCCCCTCTTCCAGGCCAGCTCTCTGCTGTGGCCAGGGAGTGCAGTGGAGGATGGCCCAAGTGCTTGGGCCCTGCACCCCATGGGAGACCAGGATAAGTACCTGGCTCCTGCCGTCGGATCAGCGTGGTGCAGCGGCCGCAGCGCTGGCCGCGGCGGTCATTGGAGGGTGAACCAACAGCAAAGGAAGACCTTTCTCTCTGTCTCTCTCTCTCACTGTCCACTCTGCCTGTCAAAAAAAAAAAAAAAAAAAAAAAAAAAAATGTGGGGGGAGCCAAGGAATGTTTTAGTGCTTTCCTTGAGTATTCTATTCATGGTCATTCCTCAAGATCTAAGTAGAGCCGGCGCCGTGGCTCAATAGGCTAATCCTCCACCTTGCGGCGCCGGCACACCGGGTTCTAGTCCCGGTTGGGGCGCCGGATTCTGTCCCGGTTGCCCCTCTTCCAGGCCAGCTCTCTGCTATGGCCAGGGAGTGCAGTGGAGGATGGCCCAGGTGCTTGGGCCCTGCACCCCATGGGAGACCAGGAAAAGCACCTGGCTCCTGGCTCCTGCCAGGATCAGCGCGGTGCGCCGGCTGCAGCGGCGGCCATTGGAGGGTGAACCAACGGCAAAGGAAGACCTTTCTCTCTCTGTCTCTCTCTCTCACTGTCCACTCTGCCTGTCAAAAAAAAAAAAAAAAAAAAAAAAAAAAGATCTAAGTAGGATGTGTAGTTCGTAATTTATTGGCAAGTGCTATACCACTTTACCAAATCTGTAAGATTCTAAGTATGTATTACCTGTTCATCTAGAGCACCAGTCAGATTTTGTGTCAAGTATCTAATAATAAATATTTTAATCTTTTTATACCTATGATTTCTGTCACAACTACTCAACTCAGCCTTTGTAGTACCAAAGCAGCCATGGACACTACATAAACAATTGAGCAGGACTATGTTGCAATAAAAATTATATCTAAAAATACGCAGCAGACCATAGTTTGCCAGCTCTTAGTCTAGAGAAGAGTTTACACTTAACATCTGTATATGTTATGTACTCTGTGCCTGCAAAACAGAGTGGCATTTTTGCTTTCTTAATACTATAGTCTTCTCACTTTTACTTTCTCTTAGCTCATTTGGATGTAACCAAGCAGAAAGATCTCAGTGGATTTTATAGGCACCTATTAAATCAAGCAGTTGGTGAAGAGGAGGTACCTGAATGCAGTTTTCGTGAAGCCAGGTGAGAGGTGACATCCAGAATGTGTAGAAGAAACAGTTAATAATATGTAGTTGTAGGGTTCTTTTAACCCTGTGAAAAATGGAAGATTATAGCATTGTATGTTGTGTTGTCAGCCAAATTGATCTTACTGAATGAATGGCCAGGAATTCTCAGGTTCTTAACTTAGAAACCTACAGATTGACGTGGGCATTTGTTCTAGTGGTTAAGAAACATCCTACATTGGAGTGTTTGGGTTTGAACCCTGGCTCTGCTCTCAATTCCAGCTTCCTGCTAATGTACACTCTGGGAGGCAGCAGTAATGACTCAAATAATTGGGTTCCTGCCATCCACATGGGAGACCTGGCCTTCTACTGCTTTTCCAGGCCATAGCAAAGAGCTGGATCAGAATTGGAGCAGCTGGGACTTGAACCGGTGCCCATATGGGATGCCGGCACTGCAGGTGGCGCCTTGACCCGATACACCACAGCACTGACCCCTCAGCTGCTCTTCTGATCCAGCTCCCTGCTAATGGCCTGGAGAAAGCAGTGAAAGGGGACCCAAATGTTTGGGCCCCTGCGACCTACATGGGAGACAGAAAGAATGTACTGGCTTTGATTTGGATGTAACCAAGCAGACATGATTTGATTCCCACTGCTTTGTTGTGGGCATCTGGAGGAGTAAACCAGCAGATGGGGATGCATGCTCTCTGTCTTCCTCTGTAATAAATTAATTAAAAATTTTTAAAAACTGAAGACCTGGAGATTTAGTTAAAGATTGTTTTTCTGTAGTGTATAAAAAATTGTCACAATTTACATCAAAACACCTTCAGTGATTGAGTTTAGAAGTGCAAAACTGAAGACTTTTGATGTACAAAATGTGTAACATTTCTGAATAGCTAAGCACTTTATGGCTCTTATAAATAACCCTTTAAGGGAAAGCATACCCAAATTGTTTTTTTTTTTTGCTTTTCATCTGAAAGGACAGATATACTTATGGCCCTGGTGTCTTGAAATGATTGCTGTCAGAATTAAGGAGACATTTGGAAAGAATTTGGTTTCATACAGTATAATCCTACGTGCATATTCAAGTAGTATATAAAAGGAAATCAGTATTTTCATAAGTAGAACTCAGCCTCCATAAAGATTCTTTGAGAAACTCCCTAAACAGCACTCTGGCCTCAGAATCAGCCCTTAAGGCATTTAGATCTGACTAAAAAGCCCATGAGAGCATTTCAGGCCTGGAAAGCCAAGATACTGTGGCAAAAAAAATGGCCTACATGAAAGAAATCTGTGAGTGAGATCCCAGGAAAGAAGGGGCCATCAAAGAAGGAGGTACCTTTCTCCGAAGGGAGGAGAGAACTTTGCTTTTGGCCCTGTCTAAATAATGACAGAGTTTGTGGACTCAAAAGGCTTCCATAGCCTTGGCAGCTCATAACAAGAGCCTTGGGTGATCACTGATGTCATAAATAAGAGTGTCAGTTGTTAAATCAACAACAGGAGTCACTGTGCACTTGCTCCCCATGTAGGACCTCTGTCCTTAATGTGTTGTACTATGAGAATTAAGGGTAAAACTAGTCTTCAAACAGCACTTTATACTTTGTGTGTCTGTGTGGGTACAAACTGTTGAAATCTTTATTTAGTATAGAGCTGGTCTTCTGTATATAAAGATATTTAAAACTGAATCTTAATGAAGAATGGGATGGGAGAGGAAGTAGGAAGTGGGACGGGATTGGAATTGGGAGGTCAGGTATGGGGAAAGAACCGCTATATTCCAAAAGCTGTATTTATGAAATTTATATTTATTAAATAAAAGCTTTCTAAAAAATATGTGATTCTATATTAGAGAAAATAGGTACACTGTCCAGTATGTAGCCACTACTCACGTGTGGCTATTTAAGTTAATTGAAACTAAGTAAAAATGAAACTTGTAGTCATAGAGCACAAGTTTTTTATAGATTTACTTATTTGTTTGAAAAAGTTAGAGAGAGAGAAAGAGACAGAGAAAGAGAAATCTTTTATTGGCTAGTTCACTCCAGAGATGGCTGGGCCAGGCCGAAGCCAAGAGCCAGTACATTTCTCCAGGTCTCCTGTGTGGGTTACAGGGATCCAAATGTTTGGGCCCTCTTCCACTACTTTTTCTAGGCCATTAGCAGGGAGCTGGATCAGAAGAGCAGCTGAGGGGTTGTTGCTGTGGCGTATCAGGTAAAGGCGCCGCCTGCAGTGCCGGCATCCCATATGGGCACCAGTTCGAGTCCCAGCTGCTCCAATTCCAATCCAGCTCTTTGCTATGGCCTGGAAAAGCAGTAGAAGATGGCCCAAGTGCTTGGGCGCCTGCATCCATGTGGGAGACTTCTGACTTCGGATCGGCCCAGCTCCAGCATTTGGGGAGTGAACTAGCAGGTAGAAGATCTTTCTCTCTGTCTCTCCTCTCCCTTTCTGTAACTCTGCCTTTCAAATAAATAAATCTTTCAAAAAAAAAGGAAAAAAAGATGAAGAAGAAGAGCAGGTAGGACATGAACTAGTGTCTATATAGGAAGCCAGAGTTGTAGGCAGTGGCTTTACCATCCAAACTAGTATTTTCAAATCATTCAGATTATTTTCAATATTTGTAGAAGTGAAACAGATACAATTATCCTTTCTCTATTGGACCACCACAACCTCAGGCATGGGTCTGTACAAGGTCTTCATTTTTGCTAAGCCTAGATAATCAGGAAAAGTAATATAAATTCTGGATCTAAGTTCTACCTCCAAACTTTTTTTTTTTTTTTGAACAGAGACAATATGATTAGAAGATCTGAGTCTGTATTGCTTGGAAAAAGGACAGATGGGAGAGTGGAGGATGAGGAGAGAGAGTGGATGTATGCCCCATTCTCCCCCAAACTGTTAGGTTTTGATTATAAAATTGATGAGAAGTTTGAATCTAAGAAAGCACAGTTGAAGATTGAGCTTTAGAATGGGAATCCCAAAATATTATGACTCTGTTAGAGTTTCATCTGGAGTAGTTATGAGGCCAGTCTTGAAACTCTGTAATGTCATTTAAATAATTGTACTTCTTAGAGCCTAATAATCAGATTCTTTACTATTAGTGGATCCTTTAGCCAAGATAGTTCTGTCAGCAGTTCCTAGAAAACAAAGATGTTGTACTGTTAGTGTGATTAATAAGACAGAACATGAGGGGCCAATGCTGTGGTATAGTGGGTAAAGCCACCATCTGCAGTGCCAGCATCCCATATGGGTGCTGGTTCAAGACCCAGCTGCTCCACTTCAATCCAGCTTTCTGCATTGGCCTGGGAAAGCAGTACAAGATGGCCCAAGTGCTTGGGCCCCTGCACCCACATGTGAGACCTAGCAGAAGCTCCAGGCTGCTGGCTTCGGATTGGTGCAGCTCTGGCCATTGCAGCCAATTGGGGAGTGAACCATTAGATGGAAGACCTCTCTCTCTCTCTCTCTCACTCTCTCTCTCTCCCCGCCTCTCCTTCTTCCTTCTCTTTGTGTATAACTCTGACTTTCAAATAAATAAATAAATCTTTTAAAAAATAAAATAAATAAGACTGACCATGTGAATAATGTAAACTTAACCTCTTTATCAATTAGGAAAATGTAGGTGATATAAAAAGTTTTATATTGTTGATTCTGACAGCTGAACACTGGATATATGGACAGCTGGACATTTGAGGGTACTTCAAAAGGTTTCTGTAAAAATGGAATGAAAAGATTGGTACAAAAATTTTGAAATTTATGCATAATTTTTTCATAGCACACATTTTCTATGGACTTTATGAATACTTTTCGTTTCCACTTTGGGATAGGTTCCAAGGCATATATCAGGATGTTAGTGCCATTTTAAGTATGAGAAAAAATTATCAATATTTAGAATTAGCATTACTACCATTTTGCTTTGGAAAAAATTCTCTTCATGTCTGAGACCATCTTTATAGTATTCTTAAAAGAAAACAAAAATTCAGCAGTTACAACTAAAGGTAGAACTTAGATCCAGAATTTATATTACTTTTCCTGATTATCTAGGCTTAGCAAAAATGAAGACCTTGTACAGACCCATGCCTGAGGTTGTGGTGGTCCAATAGAGAAAGGATAATTGTATCTGTTTCACTTCTACAAATATTGAAAATAATCTGAATGATTTGAAAATACTAGTTTGCAGATACGTACAAAGTAAATAGACATCAGCACATTTTTTACATTTGGATAATCAGAATTAAATATAATTATAGTTGTGTTGATTTAAGTATTGAAAAAATATGAACAGTTGCTTACTCTGATTGATAGGGTGACCTTTTATGTTTATATTTACTATTTTAAAGGTCCGGGATAAAGGAAGAGAAGTTGAAGGGTTACTCCGATGAAGTAAGTGCAGAGGACAGAATAGCACAGAAGAAATGCATTCTCCAAACTGGTGTGAAAGTAGAGGAAAACCCAGATGCAGACAGTGACTTTGATGCTAAGAGCAGTGAAGATGATGAAATGGAAGAAAATGAAGTGAACTACAGAAGAAAAAAGGTTACACATACCTCAGAGAATGATTGCAGGCATCACAGGAATCAGACCCACTCATGGTCATCTAGTGAAGAAAGAGGGCACAGTGCCAAATACCACACAAAAAGTTCCAGGTCAAAAGGACATGATAAAAGGGAAGATCACCAAAAGAGGCCGTCTAAAGATGAGGAGAGCTATTATACTGACTCTGATTACCGAAAAGAAAAGAAAGATTCTCATAGGCACAAAGAAACTAATCATAGCGATTCCCATTGGAAGAGGCATGAACAAGAAGATAAACTGAGGGGAAGGGACCACAGAGAAAGAGATGACAGAGAGTGGGAAAGACGGAAAGACAGGGAAAAATATTCCTCAAGAGAACGAGATAGACAACGGAATGATCACGACCGGCGCAGTGAGAAGGGAGGAGAGCAGGAAGAGAAAAGCAAAGCAAAAGAAGAGCATATGAAAGGAAGGAAGGAAAAATATGAAAGTGATGATAAATATAGAGATCAGGAAAAACAAGATGCAAGTGTTCAGTCTTCAGAAAGAAATCGAGACAGAAAGGAAAGCAACCCAAAATCTCGGGCGAAGAATGAATTTCTTGATGAGGAAAGATCCAATAAAATAAGAAACTTAGAAAAAGACAAAGAAAGAAACCAAGAGAAACACTCTAGTTCTGAAACGTTACTGGGAACAAAGCACAGACTCACAGAGGAAGGGCAAGAGAAAGGTAGAGAACAAGAGAAACCACCTGAGGCAGTGAACAAATTTGCAAAGCGAAACACTGAAGAAACTGTGATTTCAGCTAGAGACAGATACTTGGCTAGGCAAATGGCACGAGTTAATGCAAAGACCTATATTGAAAAAGAAGATGATTGAGAGCTGCCCCAATACAAAAATCTGTAGCAGCACAGAAAATTACAATTTCTGGAATTTGTGAAAAAGCATACAGGAATGTGTTAACAGAGGTTGAGAGGATATTTTAAAATACATTTTCGGAATTCACTTTTGGTTTAGGTTTAAATCAAATGTCATTCCTTTAGTCTTGACTGGCCAAATTTATATATAACATTTATTTATCAATATTGATACTTGGTTGTATTCAGTTAGTTGAATGCAAGTTGAATTCCATTAGGTACTTAAGGAAAATTGGCTGTACTACAGCTATTTAAAAAATAATAATTTAAGAAACTCTCCTAATTTGTTGGTTTTGTTGCAGGAACTGTTTTATTGTATAAATTATTGTATTTCAGTCCCTTAAAAATTATTGTATTTCAGATAAAAATGTGGATTTGAGAAATAAAGTAGAGGATATCGCTAACTTTATGTGCTGAAATGTATTAAAGTGTAAAATGTGGATCATGCATTTTGTCTGAACAACTTTTTATCTGTCTCACAGTATACTTGGCTTAAGTGGAAATAAAAATAATAACATGCTTATACATTTAAGTCACATTTTTATTTTATAAGTAATTTTACTTATGTCACAATGCCTTGTTTTAGTAAAGAGCACTTTTCATGTGCAGTTCTGAAAGCTTGCCAAATGAGAAAATTAGTTATATAGGTAAGCCCAGTGTAAAAAGAGACATTTAGCCTAACAAATCATCTAAAGATCCAGATGGCCTATTTCTGAATAAATATTATTTTATGTATACTAAAAAAAGATAATGTAGTTTATTTCAAGTTCTATTTGTGCATCAAAGTAAAAGTAGAATTTCTGTACTAAGTCTTAAAACTTACTGTTTGAAATTGTGTATTGTAAATAATGCATTCATGGGGAAAGGATGAATACTGTAAGAGTTATCACTTTTTCTTATGTTTGGAAGGATAAACTTAGTTTAAGAAGAATGTTGAGTTTTAGTTGAAAAAATTGTAAATTATGGATCAGATTTCATGCATTCATAATCATTGTATTATACCTTTATAGCCAGAAAAGAATAAAAAGGAAGCTAGTGACTTATACATCCTAACACTTTAAACTAAGTCAGTAACAGGGACAGACCCTGAAAATCACTGATTTACAGATGGGGACAGCATAAGTTAGAAAAGATAATGAGATTGAGATCATCAAGAACCATGAAAGACAAACTAAAAATCTTCAGCTTTGGTAAAGAATGTGTTCCTTTGTTAGGTTCATTTTATAACTAGAGACATGCATTGACTGTGGTGTGCAAAATTGTCTAGAAAGGTGAGACATGTCACAAAGATCTGATAAACTCATTTTTTCTTGTAGTTCAGGAGACTTTCATAAAACAGCTTAATACTTTAGATAGGAAAGAACTAGAGATTACTTTTATTAACTATCACATTTTTGGAAGACAGTGTAACTTTACCTAGAAATGAATTGTAAAGTTTACTTAATTTTAATTAACATTATAAAAATCAGACTACTACTCATTGAAAGATACCATTAGAGGCTGGCATTGTGTTGTAGTAGGTAAAGCCGCCACCTGCCACGCCAGCATCCCATATAGGTGCTGATTCATGTTCCAGATGCTCCACTTCCCATCCAGCTCCCTGCTAATGGCCTGGGAAAAGGAGCGGAAAATGGCCCAAGTGTTGGGCACCTGCCACACATGTGGGACATTTGAATGAAGCTCCTGGTTCTGGCCTGGCCATTGTGGCCATCTGGGGAGTAAACCAGCTCTGTAACTCTTTCAAAGAAATAAATAAATCTTAATATGTATACACACACACACACACACACACACCCATTAGGGGCTGGCACTGTGGTATAGCAGGTTAATTAAGCTGCTACTTGCCACACCAGCATCCCATGTCAGAATCCCAGTTCAAGTCCTGGTTACTTCCAAACCAGCTTCCTGCCAGTATGTGTAGGAAGGCAGTGAAAGATGGACCAAGTGCTTGGATTTTGCCCAAGATGATCAGGGCTGGGCCTTCTAAGTAGATTAATCCGTTCATAGAATTAATGGGTTGTTTCAGTAGTGGTCTGCTATAAAAGCCAGTGTGGCTAAGTCTCTCATGTTCTCTGTTTCTCATCATATGATGCCCTCCCTGTACTACCTCAGAATTTTGTTATCTAAAAGACCATCGCCGGATGCAGCCCCTTTATCTTGGACCAGAACTGTGAGCCAAAGCTTATGTTTTTTTAAAAGATTTATTTTACTTTGAAAGGCAGGATTAGAGAAAGAAGAGAGATCTTCCATCCGCTTGCAGCCAGGCCGGAGCCAGGAGCTTCATTTGGGTCTCCCACATGTGCACAGGGGTCCAAGGATCTGGGCCGTCTTCTGCTTTCCCAGGTGCATTGACAGGGAGCTGGATTGGAATTGGAGCAGCAGGGACTTGAACTGGCACCCATATGGGATGGAGGTGGCAGCTTAACCATTAAGCCAAAGTGCTGGCCCCAAAACTTCTCTTTTTAAGGTACCCAATCTATGATACTGTGTTATTAACAACAGAAAATGGACTAAGATAGAAAATTAGTACTGAGAAGTGGGACTGTTGCTCTTAATGTATATCTGAAAATATATTGGAAGTGGGTTTAGAACTAGGTAATGGGTAGATGCTGGAACAGTTTTGAAGTGAATTGGTGTAACAGCACTCAGGGTAGTTCTGATGAGGGCTCAGGAGGCAAAATGCTGAGTGGTCGTGACTAGAGTGCTGAGAGATTGTGAACAGTAAAGGCCATACTGATGATGTCTCAGATGGAAATGAGAACTATCTTACAGGACACTGGAAAAGGGGCCATCCTTATTACAGAATAATGAAGAATTTGGCTACGTCATGTCCATGTTCTAGGGTTTGATGGAAGGCTGAAACAGAGAGGTGAATCTGGCAGGAAAAGACCCCTAAGCAACCAGTCATTCAGGCTGCTGCATGGCTGCTTTTGGTTACTGTGGTTCAGGGGCCAAGGGAAGCAGAGTAGAAAGATTGGGAAAATGTACAGCCTGACCATGTACAGAATGAGAAGGAAAAAGTATTTGATATGGGGGAGAAAGGCATCTCAGAAATCTGAGGCTGCCTGTCCCATCGCAGGTCTGGAGGGCTAGAATGCCAGTTGTTTCAGGAAACAGGCCCAAGTCTGTCCCTGAGTCACTGCCTAGGGCTTGGCCTCTGCTTCCCCCCAACCCAGCCACTCCAGCCATGGCTCAAACAGGCCCAAGTACATCTTGTGCCATTACTCAAGGGAGGAAGTGGTAGACCTTGGTGGGGTCCATGTGGTGCTAATACTGCAAGCTCCTAGAATTATAACAGGGATAAGCGTCACAAGGGTCCTGCACAGGGGTGGAGCTGCCACAGAGAGGGACAACTGGGGCAATGCCTAACAAAGCCATGGGAGTGAGACTGGCACAGAGATGCCAGGACTGTAGAACTCCCAGTGTGCAGTGCCAGCCTGGGAGAGCCACATCGGTGAGTCTCCACGCAGAGTTGAAGTATAGACTGAGCCCAGCAAAGCCTTAGGGGTTAGGCTGCTCTAGGTTTTGGCTTCCCAGCCTCCACCCCATTGTACACAGGTTGCTAGACAGAGCTTTAGGTTTAATGTCTGCCCTGCTGGGTTTTGGACTTGCTTTCTTCTGCCTTTTTTTTTTTTTTTTTTTTTTTTTATAGGCAGAGTTAGAGACAGAGAGAAAGGTCTTCCTTTTTCTGTTGGTTCACCCCTCAAATGGCTGCTACAGCTTGGGCCATCCTCCACTGCCTTCCCGGGCCACAGCAGAGAGCTGGACTGGAAGAGGAACAACAGGGACAGAATCTGGCGCCCCAACTGGGACTAGAACCCGGGGTGCCGGTGCCACAGGCGGAGGATTAGCCAAGTGAGCCTTGGCGCCGGCCTTCTTTCTTCTATTACTCTTCTCTACGGGACTGTTCCTTTGTGAATGGGAATGTGTACCCTGTGCCCATCCCACCATTGTATATTAGAAATTGATGACTTGTTTTGATTTTACAGACTCACAGCCAGAGGGAATTCTCCTTGAGTCTCAGGTGCTAACACAAGTTAAGACTTTGATTATTTGGATGAAATGATTATATGTTGTGTGTGAGAAAGACACCCGTTTGGAGAGTTCAAGGGGAAGAATGTTGTTATTAAGAAGTGACTAGGGCTGCACCCTCATAAATAATCCATTCATGTGATACATGGATTAATGGTTATCTCAAGACTGCATCTGCTATAAAAGCCTGTTTTCCTAGGTCTCTTGTGTTCTATCTCTTCATATGTGGTGCTCTGCAGTGCCTCAAGACTTTTGCAACACTGATTGCATAACCTTGGGAAAGTTATTTAACTTCTGTGAGATTCTGAGATTTTCCTCATCTAAAATGAAGATAATGAAAGCACCTCTTTCATAAGATTTGGTGTGAGGATTTCCTGAAACAGTGCATAATATTGTGCCTGACGTTGGCAAGCAAACAATAAGTACTAGTATTTATCCTCATGGCTATCTTATCATTAGTACTACCCAGTAAAGTCAAGTGATTTATCCAGTGTTTCTTAGCTTGGTAGTAGCTGAGAAAGGACTTGAATTTGCATTCTCCATACTGTTTGGTTTTTCTTTTTACAGGTAGAAATATTTTTTTTTTGATTTTTGGCTAAGTGTGTGACATTAGTAATACTTAGGATCAAGGAAACTAGACTACACAAGTGACATGAGATTTGATATATTTTTATGTGTCCAGCAAATTGATGGCTATGTGCCAGGAGTTAAGCTACATATTCATTGTGTTAAGACAACTTAGTCCTTTTGTGCTACTCTAACAAGATACCTAAGCCTTAGTAATTTTTAAAGAACAGAAGTTTATCCCTCATAGTTTTGGAGGCTGGGATCAAGGTGCCTACACAGGATTGGTGTCTCATGAATCGCCTATTGCATTGATGGTATCCTCTTGGGAGGATTTGGAGGGAGAAAAAATGGGCCTAGGCTAGTCCCCTCCAGCCTTTTAAAAAAATTACTTATTTTAAAAGTAGAATTACACAGAGAGAGAAGGAGAGACAGATCTATCTGCTGGTTCACCCCCCTCAAATAGCCACGGCTGTGCCAGGCTGATGCCAGGAGCTTTTTCTGGATCTTCCATGTGGGTGCAGGGGTCCAGGAACTTGGGCCCTCTGCTGCTGCTTTACCAGGTGCATTAGCAAGGGGCTGGATCAGAAGTGGAGTAGCTGGGACTCAAACTGGTGACTACATGGGATGGTGGCACTGCAGGCCAGGGCTTAACCCGCTGCGCCACAGCATTGGTGCCCCTCCGGCTTTTTTTAAAGGTACTAATCCTGGGGCCAGACGTGTGGTGCAGTGATTAGGTCACGCTCGGGACACCTGCATCCCATATTGGAGTGCTGATTTGTGTCCCAGTTACTCCACTTCTGATCCAATTTTCTGCTGATGTATATCCTGGAAGGCAGCAGATGATGGCCCAGATAACTGGGTCCCTGCCACCCAAGGGGAGACCCGGTTCTAGTTCCAGGCTCCTGGCCCAGTCCTGGCATTTGGGGAG